TGGTGTGTGTTGTTTACCTCTACCCTAGAGGGGGACGTAACAATGTCCCTTACCTTTTCTTAAGTTGGCATTTAGGTCACAAAAAAGGTTTGAAATATTTGATTTAATTGAGATTTTGAGTATTCCTTTAAAAAAGCATCATATATCCAAAGCAAAAGAAATCCAGCTGCAGGAAAAAGTGTGTTTTATTTATTTCTGTAAATCACAGTTTGAGCTGAGCAGTACCTGTGTGATCCAGATTATCTTCCAGCCAGCGTTTGGTGCCCTGGTAGTTAAACTTCCCTCCACCGGATACAAAGAACAGCAGATTGTACCTGAACACACCACACACACACACACACACGTGAAATCTACATCAAGGGAAACCTAACGGAGGATGTGGACGATACGGTGCTAAGAAACAAGCTAATATTAGTCTGTGGGAAATATTTAACAACGTATACTTAAAGTCTCAAAGTCACGAGTGTAGCTATCGCACATATCAGTGATTTAACCCATTAAATAAAAGTATTTATATATTTAAGTTTCTGCTAATATAACCTGAAGATGTTTTTATTTTTTAAATGTCCTTTGATTTGGTAGAGGTGTGTAAAGTTAAACTCAAAAGTGTATTTAAAATCTGAAGAGAGGGTTATGAATTGAGTGGGAAGTGTTCACTCCTTCCTATTCATTGACAGACATATACATCATTGTGTTGTTTAATAAGAGGTTGTTGTAAATGTTTGCTGGGCATTCTTTTCTTAGCTCCTACTACTAGCTAGATTAAAATACTACTTTTAGTTTTGTTGCATAAAATCAGACTTCTAATTTTCACAGATTGATGATAAACAGTGATTTATTGCCTCCTGGCTTCTTTTACTAAAACGACAATATTTGTGTTCTGCTGCACAGAATCCTGGTTTCTGTAGTATTTACTAGGGCTGAACGATATATCGTGTCATGGCGATAACCGCGATATGCGCGATATTCACACCGCAGGGACGTGCAATTTTATTAATTTTTTATATTAATATTTTTTTTTCTTTCATTTTCTTTTTTGGACGTGTGATATTAAGTAGTTAACATTAACTCAAACACGTCATGTTACAATTATTTTGCTGCTTGCTACAAAAGGAAAACTTGCGCGGCTCTCATGTCAGGGGTACTTGAGTGAGTGACATGCAGGCTCTGCATGCACAGCAAACCACCAATCACAATCATTCTTGATCAGATCACAGCAGGCCCCGCCCCGCTAGTTTGCAGACCATCAAAACACCGGTAAAAAGTGAGCGAGGCAGAGGAGGACAATACCGGAGAGAATGAAGATTTACTTCCAAAAAGAAAAGCAACATCTGCCATCTGGAACTATTTTGGATACAAAAAGGTTCTTCTCTTCTTCATTCACAGATGAACCCCCTTATTGGAGGGTAAGCAACATGCATTATCATGACATGTTAGAGATCATGACTTAAGGTATGATGAGTCAACCAGTTAAGATCCAGACGTCCGTGACTAAAATCCTTCATCCGGTTAAATATAGTTAAAAAAAACGCAATATATATCGCAGGGGGAAAAAATATCGCAATGTGAGTTTTTTTCAATATCGTGCAGCCCTAGTATTTAACCATATTTTCTGTCATCAACAGTTAATAAGGTGTCAGCGGGAAATATGAAGTATCTCTACTTTAAAATGAAGGACAGATCAAGTATTTACCCAAACAGGTCATTTTAAAGTCCACTCTCTGAAGGAAGCCCTTCCTCTCAGATACACTTTGGTACATTAACTCCATTTAGACAGAAGAAAGATCCCGGTCCTTATTGACGTTTTTAAGTGTAATTCTTACTGCCAGCCGAAAGCAAAGACAGTGATCAATAAGGCATTTGGAGCAGGACACTAACCATAACAAATATGATAGACTTAATCTTGTGTTCTGATGAACCGCTGAGGTCAGCAATCAATAACAGCTCCACCATTTCATCAGGAACAAGTGAGTGAGCAGCGTAGAGGTGTCTGTGGTGTGCAAGATACAATCGGAAATGAGCTCTTTAATGAAACTAAAAATACACACAAGTTCTTAGTTTTGAGGTTGATGGGTGCAAAATGATCCAGAAACAAATGTCTATGTGTTGATTGTAGATTGTGTGGTGTTATTGCTCACCCAGCGTGTGTCCTCTTGTAGGTGTAAAGTTTTGAGAAGAGCCGAGCGAGTTCGAGTAACATCGACACCCCGCTGCCGTTTGAGTCGGCTCCGTACGAAAGCCACTGAACAAGAAAACACACATTACTTTCATAATAACAATAATAATTCCTTACATTTATTATAGCACTTTCCCAGATGCTCAAAGTGCTTTACAAATACACATTACCCACATATCATACATGTAACGGTCATGTACTGTGGACAGTACCCACAGGAGAAAATTCAGGTGAAGTGTCTTGCCCAAGGACACAACGGCCTGACGCAGCTAGGGATGCCAGCGATTATTCGATTTTTCGTTACAGTCGGCGAATAATCGATTAATATTCGCCAGGGCTGTCCGATCTTCGAATTTGATCATGGTCAGTTTCTGGCATCCCTAGACGCAGCGGGGGCGGGTTTCGAACTGGAGTTCCCCAACGCCCCCTTGATCTGATGATCAACGCACTGCCTGCCTGCAAACATTTTATTTAGATTGGAATCGGTGAGATTATGACCTTAAAGTATATCTTGTGATTTATTTCCCACGGATTTATATTCTCCGATGTTTCTTTGCATGCTCTCATGTGTGTTTCACGTGTTGTGTTCAGGTACGTCCACTGTATCCAAAGATTCTGGAGAACACCTGAAATCTGACTTGTATTGTATATGTTCGTACCTTTAAATTTCCTTAAAGGTCTCAATAAAGTGTTGCATACATTTGAAAGGAATATTATGGATGAATGAAATGGACGAAATGAGAGCTGGCTCCAGAGGAACCCTCCCTCCACCCTTTGGAGGGAGGGCGATAAACACATTTGATAAGGGGGATTTATTTAAATATCTAGGACAATAAAAATATCTTATTTTTCAGTCTGGCCTCGTTTATATGCATTGTGAACTGAACCCGTGCTTTTTCTAAAGAGGCCCCGTGTTAACGACAGACTATAACCAAATCCCACAGATAGGTCCTGATGAATGTTGCTTCATCTGCTTCACTCCCTGTAGGTTTTTTGTAAGACCTGGGGTTTAATTGTAGGACAAAAGGAGCGGTGAACATACCGGAGCGACACCGAACGAGTCGTAGTGAGCGACCACGACGATAGTGGGAAGATCTTCTCCTCCGACTCCAGCCAGACGACCCTGAGGAATAAAAACAGAGACGTTAGAGGAGAGAATAAAACAGAAACAGATGATCTGAAGCACGAGACTCAGAGGGACAAAGGGAACAGAGCGGAGTCAGAGTGGGTCGACCTGTAATCCTCAGATCAAGTTAGAAAGTCCTGACTTAACACTTCACTCTTGTTTTGCACTCATTCTTAAAAGAGAGTAAAACAGAGGACGTCCTATGTACTGGAAAGCCCCTTCCAGGGTTCCTGCAGGTTTCACCAACTCAAGTGTAAGACTTTTTAAGACCTTTTTAAGACCTTTTTAAGACCTTTTTAAGACCTTTTGAAGACCACTTAGAATAGAATTTAAGACCTATTTCACAGCAAGAAAGTATGAAGGAGAATTGCTTTGAAAGAAGAAATACGTTCCATAATTACTTACAAAGTAAATGTATTCACGTTCAACATAAGAACAATGACTGAACATAACAGTACACAGAACTGTGTTAGCGTGTTAGACAAAAGGTGTGTGTGTGTGTGTGTGTGTGTGTGTGTGTGTGTGTGTGTGTGTGTGTGTGTGTGTGTGTGTGTGTGTGTGTGTGTGTGTGTGTGTGTGTGTGACAAGAGCTATAGTCAGAGCTCTGCTGTCTTCATGCTGTTGCATGATTGGTGTTTAGCTACGGTATTTAGCGTCTACAGCACCTCCGCTTTTAGGGTTGACGTAGACCCACACGTCGCCCGGAGGTCCCCGGTGTTGTTGCGGGAGCTGCTGCACTAGCCGACGCTCCACTAGCTAACGCTACATTAGCAAAACAAACGCTAATTTATTTTGCAAAAGGTGCGGCGGGCTTCAAACACGTTCCCCTCCACTGGTTTCAACCAAGCACTAAATTAGATGTTTTCCAACCAAATACGGTTGAACTGACA